ATGACACCTTTCCCAGGGAAGCAAGGGTAGGGGCTTCGTGAAAGATGGTCAAACTGAGAACTACATTGTGACGACTTGTCCCTGTCCCTGTGGGTTCCCTGGTGATGGCTAGCTGACTTAAACCCTGCTGCAGTGGGGCAGAGGGCTCTGTCTTCTGAAAGGGGTGGGGCAGGTGGCATCTGTGTCTAACTGCATCCTCTGTCTTTGCAGAAGGAGCCCAGCGAAGTGCCAACACCTAAGAGACCTCGGGGCAGACCGAAGGGGAGCAAAAACAAGGGCGCTGCCAAGACCCGGGTGAGGCTTGGGGGTGGGGGTGGTCCTAGTGCACGAAGAGGGAGGCATGGGAAAGGGCTGGTGTATCCTGCATCTGCCCCCTCTGCCCTGGTGTGGGTGGCAGGTGATGGGCCTTTGCTAATTGGGGAGAGCAGGGTGATGACTAAGGTCTCACTTCTGGGGCCTTGGTCCTGCCCAGGACAATGGGGAAATCAAGTCAAGTCCTGCAGCATTCCCAGTCCGGAGAAATAAGAGTTGGGAAGAGTGAAGGGGCAGCCCCACCAGCCCCTGGACTGAAAGTTACCTTCTGTCCTGGGTCCCCTGGATCCTGAGGGATGGGGATGATCAGGGAAGGCCAGCCTTTCTGGTGGCATCAGCCTTTCAGAGAAGTTGTTTTGTTTTTTATTTTATTTTTTTCTAAGACACGACTCATATCCTCTGAGTCATGGGTGGAGGAGGGAATGGGGGGCATGTGTGTATATTGAGGGGGGGCGATGTGGTGGCCAGTCATCGCCAGCTGGACTTGGGTGGGCCTGTGGCTGGGGTGAGATTCCTGGGCTGCCCTGAGCAGAGGTGGGCAGCTCTCTGTCCTTCCCTGCTTCTCACCGTCATTGGATGAGCACCCTCAGGGACATTTGACTTAGTGCATCTTTTCTCTGACCATCTAGAAAACCACCACGACTCCAGGGAGGAAACCTAGGGGCAGACCCAAAAAACTGGTAGGTGAAGGGGGGTGGTAGCTTGGCTCTTCTGGGTGGGGTGCTAAGAATGGATGATGCCGACCTGATAGGTGCACCCACCATGGAAAGACAGTTCTCCCTGACCTGCAGGGCCAAGAATGGTGGCATGTCACACTGGCTCAGGCCCAGGCTCTGGCACCCAGCCCAGGGCTTTTAAAGAGCTATATGTCCATGAGAAGTGAGGGGTCCCAGGTACAGAGTAGACCTTTGCCCTGCACTGGTGGAGGGTGTCTACATCTAGGGGGGATCTTGGAGGTCCTCTAGTCTCTCCCCCATTATAAAAATGAGGAAAGGACATCACACGGGGAAGGGGTGAGGTTTGTCTTTACCCTGATCCTGGGGAGGGAGAAGAAGCGGTGAAGAGCTCAGCCCTGGGAGGGGTCGGTGCTGGGTAGGAGCTGAGGTGTGGTCCCATATGGAGGCACCTTCCATTTCTGGGCCCCCAAATAGCTCCTAGTGGAAGTAGGTGTGCCAAGTCAGGAGACTGCCTCTAGGGGGCTCCCCTGCAGTTAGCCACCCCAGCCTTCCTGTTCCCTGCCCTTTCCTATCCCCAACCTGCTCCCTGAACTCCCTGAGGCATTCATTCCTCGAGCTGAGCCACCACCACCAGGGTTAGGGGGGCTGGGGGTGCTGGCTGGGCCCCAGGAGTGAGTAACAGGAAACAAGTTGTTTTGGAGTTTGTGCCTGGCACGGGGGCCGCAGCAGTGGTGTCCCGACATTCCCGCCCTGTGAGTGAGCCCCTGCGGCACACATTTCCCCTTCCTCCCCGCCCTGGCCTGGGGTCAGCCTGCGGCCGCTGCCACTGCCCCACAGCGCAGCAGCTGCCCCTGTGCTCCAAGGCCACCTGGTTCCCTACACCCTCCAGCCCCCCCATTTCCTCTCCCTGGCTGCTGCCCCCCTCCCCTCCCTTCCCTCTGGAGCCAGTCACTCCTCACTTCCTCCAGCTTACGGGCTGCTGCTCTGAGATCTGCCCAGGCCCCCACCTCGGCCCCGGGCAGGGGAGGATGGCTCCGTGTGAGAGCTGCATGTGTGTGGTTTTCTTCCCTCCCTTTAAATTCTTCCTTTTTTATGAATGAAACTGGGCTCTGGAGGTTGCTGAGTCACCCACACACTCAGTCCTGACTCATCCCCCTTCTGCAGCGCCTGGGAGGGGCGGGGGCAGCAGGCCTGTGTTCCCTCTCCCACAACTGGGGGTGGAGGAGGGCCAGGCCTGGTACCCGCTGACGGCCCTGCCCACCTCACAGGAGAAGGAGGAAGAGGAGGGCATCTCGCAGGAGTCCTCAGAGGAGGAGCAGTGACCGTGCCACCCGCCTCCTCACCCAGGAGCAGTTTCCTTCTGGGACTGGACAGCTCCGCTCCCACCGCCCCCAC